ACATCGCGTTCCATATGGGCGGGAACCATCAGTGGAAGCTTGGAGCCTGGGGTTTTTCTGGGTCTGCTGTTTGGGTCATGCCTCCCTGGAGGACCAACAGCCCTGGGATGGGAAAAGCAGAGCCCGGGAACTCTGTTGAGAGCCAGGGCATCCGGAGCCCCTGGCTCCCTTTGGTGGAGACCACACTGTGTGGCTTAAGGGCACCCAGGAACTTGGGAGTCGTGATTCTCACCTCCTGCTTAGTCCCTGCACCCATCTGGGCAATATCGGTGCAATCAGACTACGGAAAATTAGCATCAAGCTTAAATCTAAGCGATCTGAAGCTGTATCATTGAATGTCTTTCCCATTCTTTCCCTAGAGTGGGAAGTGTGACCATTATTTGAATGTTGTTTTCCAGTGCAGAGAAAACCAAGCATTCTCTTGATCAAACTAGTTTGTAAAATAACCAAGGGCTCACCTGGGGAGGTGGGCAAAGGAGTTTCATCTCAGTAAAGCAGGAAAGATATAGTCTGGCTTGATCTGTGACCGAGATGCTTGAGAAAAGACCTCTCCTGTGCCCTGTTGTCCCCGCAATACCCTAAGGATTAAATGACTCTGATCCAGGAAGAGTCCATTCCAGCCTCTTGCATGGCCACGTGCCAAAGCTGAGGCTGGTTGCACAATCCAAGCTTAGAACTATTCAGGCCAGTAAAAAGCTGAGAGGCTTCGTTGACAGCCTGGGTCTGTTCACGGTCTGGGGTCCTCTCAGCAGGAGGTCAGGGGCTTCCTAAGTGACTCGGAAGGAAAGCAGCTGCTCTTCGACCTCTGCAGAGCAATGTTCATGAAAACGCTTGCTCCAGCTGCTGAGAATTGTCCCTAGTAACTTTTTTCCTGATTAAAAGAGAATATATGCTCATTCCAGCATTGCTTGTCCAACAACCCAACATGTCCAAAAATAGTAGAATGAATAAATATTTTATTTATATGATGGAATACTATATGGCAATGAAAACGAAAGAATTGCAGCTTCGTGTGAGAACATGGATGAATCTCACAAAAATAAGTTGAGCAAAAAAAGAAGAGACACAATGACACAAATGAACTTATTTACAGAACAGAAATAGACTCACAGACATAGAAAACAAACTTATGGTTACCAAAGGGAAAGTGGGGGGAGGGATAAATTAGGAGTTTGGAATTACAATATACGCAATACTACATATAAAATAGATAACCAACAAGGACCTACTATATAGCATAGGAACTATACTCAATATCTTGTAATAACCTATAATGGAAGGGAAGGCTGTACACCTGAAACTGACACAACATTGTATATCAACACTATTTCAATTAAAATTTTTAAAAATACATGTAGAAAAAAAAAGAAGACACAAAAGGGAACATAGGGTGTTACTCCACTTATATAAAGCTCAGGGAGTTCCCTGGCAGTCCATGCTTTTGCAGCTGAGGGCCCATGTTCAATCCCTGGATGGGGAACTAAGATCCCACAAGCCACACGGCGTGGCCAAAAATAAAAAAGAAGTTCAAGGACAGTCAAGCTATACTATTTTGTTTAGGGATGCATACATGAATGGTTTTTGAAAAGCAAAAAAATGACTAAGGGGGAAGAAAGAGGCTTGGGGGGAGGTTCCTGGTGGGCTGGTAATGTATTTCTTGCTCTGGGTGGGTATTTGCTTTATAATTATTTATCAGATTGTACATTTGTGTTTTAGGTACTTGTCAGTATGCATAGTTCATAGCACAATGTTTTTAAAAGTTAGGTGCAAAAAGATAATCTATGCAGATGATAAACTTTGCCTTTTATGAATCACATGCAAAATCAAATCTAATGCAAACTGAGAACTACAAAACATCATTGAATGAAATTAAAGATGACCTAAATAAATGGAAAGACATCCCCCGGACATAGATAAGAACATTTAATATTATTAAGATAGCATTATTCCCCCAAGTTTATATACAGATTCAATGCAATCCCTACCAAAATCCCAGCTGGATTTTTTTTTTTTTTCAGAAATGGAAAGGTGATTCTCAAATTGATACTGAATTGCAAGCAGCACCAAACAGCTACAGTAATATTGAAAAAGAAAAAGAACATGGGACGACTCACACTTCCCCATTTCGAAACTTACTACAAAAAGCTACAGTGACCAAAGCTGTGCCATCCTGGGAAGAAAGAAAACATAGGTGTAAATGTTCATGAGCTTGGATTAGGCACTGGCTCCTTGGATATGACACCAAAGATAATACACCAAAAGCACAACAACCAGAGGGGAAAATAGGTAAATTGGACATCGTCAAAATAAAAATTTTGCGCTTCCTAGTATACTATCAAAATGAAAATACAGGGCTTCCCTGGTGGCGCGGTGGTTGGGAGTCCGCCTGCCGATGCAGGGAACGCGGGTTCGTGCCCAGGTCCGGGAGGATCCCACATGCCGTGGAGCAGCTGGGCCCGTGAGCCATGGCCGCTGAGCCTGCACGTCCAGAGCCTGTGCTCCTCAACGGGAGAGGCCACAGCAGTGAGAGGCCCATGTACCGCAAAAAAAAAAAAAAAAAAAAGAAAGAAAGAAAAGACAACCCACAGAATGGGAGACAATTTTTGTAAATCACATATCTGATAAGTCTAGTATCCATAATATACAAAGAACTCTTACCGCTCAATAACAAAAATACAACTCATTTTAAAAATAGGCAAGGGATTTGAACAGACATTTCTCCAGAGAGGATATGCAGGTGGACAATAAGCATAGGAAAAGATGCTCCACATCACTATTAATTAGAGAAATGTAAATCAAAACCGCAATGAAACACCACACCACTAGGATGGCTAGAATCAAAAAGCAGATGATAAATAGTGTTAGGAGAATGTGGAGAAATTAGAGCCTTCATACATTGCTGTAGGAATACAAAATGGTGCAGCCACTTTGGAGAAAAGTCTGGCAGTTTCTCAAAAAGTTAAAAATGGAGTAACCATATGACCCAGCAATTCCACTCCTAGGTATATACCCAAGAGAACTGAAAATATATGTCCACACAAAAACTTGTATATGAATGCTCATAGCAGCATTATTTATAATAGCCAAAATATGGCTATCAATTGATAAATGGAAAAACAAATGTGGGATATCCATACAATGGAACATTATTCAGCCATAGACAGGAATGAAGCACTTATGTATGCCACAACGTGGATGAACCTTGAAAACAAGCTAAGTGAAAGAAGCCGGTCACAGAAGACCACCTATTGGATTCCGTCTCTGTGAAATGCCCAGAAGAGGCAAATCCATAGACACAGAAGGTGGATTAGTAGTTTTGGGGGGCGGGTGGGGGGAGTGACTACTGTTAAAAAACAAAATCAACTGAGTAAATTGTAAAGATCTTATTGGCTTTATTCACCGATCATGAATCACTCAGCGTCCCATCTAGCAAATAGAAAGGAGCTCTGAAGCGCCGTACAAAAGGGAAGACTTTTACAGCCAGAAAGAGATGGGACAAGGAAATGAGTCTAGCAAAGAGCTGAGTATTTCAGGCAAGGTCGCCTTCCTTTGGGGGATGACAGGGATCTACCAGAAGGATTACTTCACTAGTGCTGACCAGGAAATTCCAGACTGACTGGTTAAGATTACATTCGTAGGAGAGCTTGAAACAGCAGTTAGGTTAGGTATAAAGTCTTGGTTTGGTGACGCGTAGCACAAGCGACACCACTTGGGACCTGTTACCTCTCTTTTGACACGACTGTGTTTCTTTTTGAGGCAATAAAAATGTGGAATTAGATAATGAGGATGGTTGCACAAACTTGTGTATATGCTATAAATAACTGTACATTTTAAAGGGCCAATTTTACGGCACGTGAATGGTAATCCAAATTTTTAAAAATGAAATTTTCAAAAAAGAAAACCCAGTAAAATTGGGAATTAATGTTTCAATTTCTTTAAAACAATTTCACACAATAAGCTTTATTTTAAAACATTGCATGCTCATTGTAAGAAAAGTTGGAAACACCCCGTTCAGGAAGTAACCACCGCCACCCTAACCAGCGAACACCTCCGGTATGGCTGCTTAAGGAACGAGGATCACTTTGACAGCTGCTGTTGCTACCAGTGGAAAGACTGCCTCCACCCCAACAAGATACCCCCCCACCCCCACACACACATGCTGGCGGTAAAGAAAGAAGGTAATATTAGTCCAAACTGTCAGTGCATCCCTCCCCAGAACTGAACGTCCTAGTCGGCTGGCAAGAGCAGGGGCCTCTGGAGGATGCGCTGGGAGGCGCGGGGTGGGGGGAGGCATGCGGCGCTGCAGACTAGACGTGGGGACTGCAGGGTGGAGCGTGGGCGCCAGGGGTGTGGTGGGAGGTCAGGGGCGGGGCCTTGGGGATGGGGCCGGAGGTTGCGGGGAGCGCCTAGGGACGCGGGCACAGGGGCGCGGTGTCGGGGCGTGAGTGGGGCTCGCGGGAAAGGCTCCGGGTCCGGCCGCGGGTCCGAAGTCGGGACGTGAGGGCCACGGGGTGCAGCGTGCAGGACGCAGGGGCGTGGTGTGAGGGTGAGGGTGGGGCTCGGGGGCGGGGCGCGGCCGGGG